ATCAGGTGGTGTTAAGTGTTGTGGATTAAAAAAAAAACAAAGAGACTGGTGATGGTGGGAGGAGTGCCATTTAAAAAAGGATACTTAGAAAGGCTTCACTGAGAAGGTGGCATCTGAGTAAAGACTGTGGACTATAAAGGAATAAATCCTGTGCTGGTTGGCGTGGCTCTTCTTGTGCTCAGTAGCCTGTTTGTCCATGGCAGATTGTAAAATTTCTAATGAAATGGTATGTGTAATTAGGAACTCTTTGGGGCTCTAGACTTTGTTATCCTGGAGAGAGACAATTTTTAAAAAGTGTCTGTCAATTCATTGAGTGCTTCCTATATGTCAAGCAATGTATTAAGCATTTTATATCAATCAATCAATATATTAGTAATACCTGTGTCAACACATTACTAATACATTGTTATGTACTATTACAACAGTACTGGAAGGTATTCATTTGTTTATTTGTCCAACAAATATCCAATGCCAGGCCTTTTCCCAGGTACTGGGGATGTAGCAGTGGACAAAACAAAGTTCCTATTCTCATAGCTAATAGTAGAAGATAGACAGTGAACACATGAACATGTGACCATATAGAATATCAGGTGGTGAAGGTGGTACTGCCTCATTTTTTTATGGCTTATTTCAAATGTCTTGGTGGGTTGTATAACACAGTAGTTATGAGCCCAAGTTCTGGAATTAGAGATCTAGATTTGACTCTACATTCTCTCATTGATGAGCAATGTAATCCCAAGCAAATTATTTCTAGGACTCAGTTTCCTTATCTGTGAAATAAGGCTAATGATACTTCATAAAATTGTTGGGAGTATTAAATTAAAAAATTGAATTAGATGATCCACATAAAACACCAAGCATGGTTTCAGACATAAAGCAAGGACTCTGAAAGTATTATTTACTAACTCCTTACCTGGATATTTAATTTCTTGCAAAATATAATGATTGCCACTGGAGAAAATAATCTATTAAAAAATACAGCAAAAAAAAAACAAAAACAAAAAACAGCTTAGTAATAGAGAAACCACCTGTGCTAAGCACATACAATTGGCCAGACAACTTATTAAACCTATGTTGTTGCTTCTCTTGGGATGCATATGATAATAGCTTTTTTTTTTTTCTGTGTGGAATTAATGCAACAGGGAGGACAAGCCCTGTTACACAATGAAGCAACGAGACCTGAAGTGAATTTAAGCTGTCTAACAAGTTAAGATCTAGATGACATAGATCTTCAACTGTCTGGGCAGGGTTGGGACTGTTGGAGCCAGTGATCTCCTCAAGTAGGGTATGTCATATCTGGGTTTTATCCCTTACCACTTTTTGGAGGTTTCTGTTCCAGAGGAGCTGGCCATGTTGCCCTGCAGTAGGTAGGTGGGTTCTTAGGCATCAGGTAAGGTTTTAGAGGCCTCATGTTGGTTTGCCCAGTCCTGGCCTGCTGGCCTCTTTCCTTGTCTTGGAGATATTTCCAGGGGAACTATATGCCTAAGGGATAACAGCAGGATCTAGATCAAAGTCCATTTTATCAATCACTGCACGGGTACTCAAAATCCCTTTGCTGAAATCTAGTTGAGGACTGAATTGGAAAGCAATTGGGAAGTTGGGAGCTTGAGACCTATGCAGAACCTGTTTTTCCCACCTCACTGAGACTAAGCTTATCAGGCAGGGTCTAGTCAGGAGGTTGAAGCTATAGAGTGATTTTTTTTTTTGGTACTGGGGATTGATCAGGGGCACTTGACCACTGAGTCACTTCCCCAGCCCTATTTTGTATTTTTATTTAGAGATAGGGTCTCACTGAGTTGCTTAGCACCTTGCTTTTGCTGAGGCTGGCTTTAAATTCACAATCCTCCTGCCTCAGCCTCCTGAACTACTGGGATTATAGGCATGCACCACTGTGCCCAGCTACAAGGTGATTTTGAACAAAGAATTTGAAGAATTGACAAATAGGTATCCAGTTGTTACTAGGTAACTGAGAACCCTGAAGTATATAAGGATAGCAATTGCAGAAAAGGACCACTGCTAGCGTTGATAAAACAAAGGGAAAAGACTGGAATGATTCCATGTTAAAAACTTGGAGGGGGGGTTCTGCTGAACTGAACTTCAGCAGGTTGAGAAGGAGTACTGCTCAGCTGGTCCTGGTGTCAAAGGGCTGCCCATAAGGCCATTTTTTGCAAGCACTGGGTAAACTGCAAACAGGAACCAACTGTTGCTTCTGGGGGCAAGTAGCAGTTGCTAGGTTAGCCAAGACGAACAGGAAGTAGATAAAAGGAGTTTGTCCCTTGTCCCTCATCTGGTCTGGCAGTCTCCCTGTATTGCAGGGAGCAGCTGGCAAAGCCGAAATGGGGTCTGCAGAGTCCCACCTCAGTTGCTGAGCTGACTAGAGTTGAGATAGGATAGCTTGATAAGTGGTATCGTGCTCAGGTACAGGAATGCAGGTATAGATAGGCGATTGATTCCTAAGTGGTAGTTAAGCTTCCTGACTTTGAAGTAGAAGAGGAAGTGCAAGATAGAGGAATCTGAGCATGGCTGTCTACCTTCCAAGGCATAGTATCTACATCCACTAGTAGAATAGAGTCCAATGAATGTGTCGTGTACTTACAAACAAAATAGTGATTCCTTGTGTGGAGAGTCAGGTGTGGATTCCAGTAAGGGAATTAACAGATGCCAGGCAGAGATGGTAGAAAAGATTTAGCTGACCTCTCTCCCCATGTAGTGGAGAAGCAGAAAGGGTAATATATGTAAAGTGTTCAGCTAGTGCCAGGCACATAGTAAGCATTCAACAAATGGTGGCTTTTATTATTCAAAAGAAGGAAAAGTACAAATGGCGTAGGAAATGAAGTAAATGGCTCTAGTGGAGTTAGAACCCAGGGTTTGGACTTAGTACCTGAGTCTATATTAGGTAAGTGACCTTTATTAACATACTTGCTGCTCTGAACTCAATTTCCTTATTATAATATGGTGATGATAATACTTATGGGCACTGAATGTCTTATAGTAGACTAACATATATAGCTAGTTGTCCTATTATTAATTAGAAAGAATAAGATTGGCTGTTACTGATGTTGCTAATACTAAATAGAAGAGACTTCAGCAATCATTTTTTCTACAACATCATTGTATAGGTGAAGAAACAGAGGTATAGAAAAAGGTCAGTAGCTCCATGGATGTTAAAAGTCTGGGCTATGGAGTCAGTCAGATCTGGGTTCAGATCCTTGCTTCCCATTTCCACTTACTGACTAAGCAAGCTTAAGTAAGTTTCTGAGTCTGTCTCAACTTAACAGTGTTGCAAGGACTGTAAGAACTAATACATTGCCTGACTTCAGTAAGTGCTCAGTAAATAGCACTAGAATAGCACTATTGTACTTGGTAAACACAATAATCCCTGGGGAGAGAGGGTTGGTTCATCATGATGATGACTATTCCACACAACAGGCCTTTCAGGAGAGCCTGGGCACTCCATAAAGATATTGTGAAAACACTGGAGATTTTGGCCATGGTACTACCAATTACTTGCCTTGAAATATTGAACAGTCACTGAATTATTCTCCCTGTGAGTTTTTCTTATAAAGATCATGGTACTTGACCTTAGGTCTATTTCCCCAAGTTTTCTGGAAGCTGAATAATAAAATAAGAGTCTCTAGAACCCATGAACCTTGGGGAAGCTCATAAATAACCATTCTTATATGACCACATTCTGGTGGATACTCTGTATCACATGGTACAAACCAAAACTGAAGGCAGGACTTCTGCTTTCAGAACTCAAATTGTTCTTGTTACAGTCAGCTCTTAATTTTTATGAGCTAACTGGGAAAATTATAGCATGAATAAAAGGAGGCAGCTGTTGTTGATGCTCTTCACTCTAAAACTTGAGGAGGCATAAGAGACTATATTTTAAATCTCATTATCCTCTCACCTGATCTCTTTCTTTAATGTTGTGAAACCACAGGGTGGTTCAAAACAATACAGTTGCCATTTATTTAGCATGTACTTGATACCAGGCATTGGGCTGAACTTTTCATCCCATAGTATCTCATTTTGTCCTATAGTAACTGTGTGAAGGAGGGAGTTGTGTTTATTTATTCATCCATCTTTTTCAATAGAATCTCAGGCACAGAGGTAGAGTGAGTCAAACTTTTCAATTCATTGTATATTGCCATCAGTTCTTCATGCAAGACCCTTTCCTTACGTTAATTACTTTATTCTCTTTTGTCTGTTTACCCATGTTCATGCACCTCCCCTATAAGTAACCAATCATTTTGTGTAGTGCATATCTTTTCCTTTGCATATACTGTTAAGAAATGTACATTATGGCTTTGCGTATGTATATTTTTAAAAGATATTAAATGGTGTTATGTTATATTTCATTCTGTTTCTGACTTTAAAAAATGATTCTGATGGAAGCACTATGTTCGAAGACCTCCCCACATTACTATGGGTTTATGTAATCTATATTTCCAATTGTGGCATGATACACTGTGGTGTGTATCCACCACAGGAACACATTCCTGTTCTAGCAATGGATAGCCAGGCTGCTTTGGTATCAAACTCCTTACTGCTGTTGCATCTTCATATGTCTCCTTTATGGGACTGTGTAGATATTTCTTTGGGGTATATAGTGAAGAGTAGAATATTCCTAAGTGGCACCAGAGGTGGGTTCTGTTATCATCTACAATTTTGCAAATAAAGAAACTGAGGCTTCGAGAAGCTTTAATAACTTATCCAAAGTTACATAGATGGTAATTAGCAGGGCTGGGATTCAAATTCAGGCAGTCTTACTCAAAAATTCTACTCTTAATGGCTATGCCATCATTATTCTCTAAGTGTTTGAGACTTGAGGACATTTTATAAAAAATATAAAGGTCATTCTCATTGTTTGCAGTTTTTATATTCTAAGAATCTATGAACCCAAGTGGATTGATTGTTTTTTGCTGAAGCACCTACTTCCCTCTAAGAGCTGCATAATAACTGTTTTTCTCTGGCTTTTGTATCCTGCGGTTCTGTAGTGTTAAAAGCCACCTTGGTCATCCAGAACTGGTACCGAGGTTACAGAGCTCGGCTGAAGGCCAGACAACACTATGCCCTTGCCATCTTCCAGTCCATCGAATATGCTGATGAACATGGTCAAATGCAGGTCTGTTTTGCAAACTTGTATCTCCTTTTTTTGTAAAGTATTTCTCTTTATTCATTGTTACTGAAAGAATGAAAGTTTGGGTCAATTTTAAGTTGAGGAAGCTTTAATAGAGCTTAGAACTAGCTGTTGAGAAAGTGTGTGGTTTTGGAAGAGGATGGTGTTTTTCAGTCTCAAAGTTCACATTTTCCAAAGGGCCGCCAGATGTCTAGCTAACTAATAAAAATAGCGTTAATCTATTTTTGGGGATATACCCTAGTGAAAAGTTGTTGCTTTATGAAGGGAAAAAATATTTTGAGGAATTAAAAAAATGGAAGAATTTCCAGGGAACAAATCTGTGAACATTCTAAAAGCTTGTATAAGGATTCATTAAAAAAAAAAAGGGTGCTTTTTCTTTTTTTGGGGGGGAGCGGGTACTAAGGATTGAACCCAGGGGCACTTTACCACTGAGCCATATCCCCCATCCTTTTTATTTTTATTCTGAGACAGGGTCTCACTAAGTTGTTGAGGCTGGTCTCGAACTTGCAATCTTCCTACTTTAGTCTCCTGACTCACTTGGATTACAGGTGTGTACCACCATGCCCAACTTTAAAAATGAGAACTTTTTAACAATAAAAAAAATCTTGGAATGATCTCTAATGTAGTTATTGATTTAAAAAAAATCAACCTGCAGAATAGTATGTAGAGTTTATCCCATATATGTGAAAGAAAATTAAATATACAGCTGGGCATGGTGGCTCACACCTGTAATCCCAATGGCTTGGGTGGCTGAGGCAGGAGAATCGAGAGTTCAAAGCCAACCTCACTCAGTAACTTAGTGAGGCCCTAAACAATTCGGTGAGACCCTGTCTCTAAATAAAATATAAAATAGGGCTGGGAATGTGGCTCAGCAGTTAAGCACCTCTGGGTTCAACCCCACTTAAAAAAAATTTAAATATACAGCAAAATTCTGGAAAAAGATATATAGCAAATTGTTTATAGGAGTTAGTTCTGGGGACAAGAGTGATATTAATAAATAGGAAAGGGTGTTAGAAAGGACTTCTCAGGCTAGAGATGTAGCTCAGTGATAGAGCATGTGGCAAATGTGTGAAGGCTCAGGGTTCAATTCCCAAAATCCCTAGTACTAGGGGGGAAACCCAAAGAAAAAAGGACTAACCTAACAATCATATTTATGTATCATGTTATAATTTTTAAAAATAAATCAAAAATTCAAAAATATTTAAATTGCTATATTTCCTCTTGGAATTCAATCAGATGCTCCCTTTTCCCTGATTAGGAGCTCACAGTGTTGGCTATCTTTTTAAGCACTATTTAATCTTACCACTAAAGAGAAAAGAGGAGATTATAATCAACAAAATTTAGTAGCTGTCTTAGATTGGACTTTCTAGAAGCAGAGTCTGAGAGAGAGATTCTGGTACAAGTGACTTATTGAGAGAATGTTTTCAGAAAAAACCTATAATAAGGCAGTGAAAAAAATCAAGATATGATGGTAGAAGAAGCCAAGCAAAAATGTGCTTTCTAGAGAAGTCTGACCTTAGTTTGATCCCACCAGGAGCTTTCAAGTGTGAAATGCATCACACTTTGTCCTATAAAGGGGTCAGGAGGCAGGGGACTGGGCTGTTACACTCTTGTTTCAACCAGTTGTTGTCTGTGGGCAACCTTCCAGGAGAGATGTACATGTAATATCCTCAGTGACTCTGAGTGCAGTGTTGCCCATCTTCAAGGACAGGGATAGGTGTGACCCTTAGTAGATGAAGCAACTAGAAGATGAGTTCCCCAAAAGAGTAAGGAACTTGCATAGACCACCAACAGTATTTGTCACAGTAGCTGCTTAGGGTTCATTAATTGATTAATCTTTTTATTTTGTTCAGTTATCCAATTTCTTTACCTTCATGTTGGAAAACTATTCACGAGCACGTAAGGAAGATCCAGGTAAGCAAAAACTTTAGTCTTTTCAAAAGTGACCATTAAATATTGAATTGCCCTCATCAAGAAATATAAATCCTGAAGATGGGAGAATGCTAAGAAGTTAAAAAGATGCTTACCTCTCTTGCCTGTGTGACACCTAACAACTAGTGAAATCAGTTCAACTGACTTTTTTCTTCTCTTGATGGTATCTGCTAAATCAGCATTAATTAATTTTTTCACTTTTCAAAAAACTGAATTAGATTTCATTGACCATGCATTTGTTGAATACCTTCTCTTGAACCACAGTCCTTGCTGTACAATAGTAGCTTAGTAAAGTATATCTCATTTTTCACCCACAAAAATTTTGTATTGAGAAATAAAAAATATCTTGAGTATTTCAGGCAGTAGATCTCAGTGAAAATGGCAGATTAAATACAGTTGGCCCCAACATATCTGTGTTTTTCTCTCTTTCTCCTGTTTGTCTGCTATGGTTTGAATGTGTTTCCCAAAGTTTATGTGTTGAAAACTTAATTCCCAATGCAACAGTGTTGAGGGGTGGGACCTTTAAGTAATTATGTCATAGGAGGTCCTGCCCTTATGAATGGATTGATGCCATTATCTTGGGAGTGAGTTAATTATCTTTGGAGTGGTGTCCTAATAAAGTATGAATTCAGCCATCATCTCTTTTGAACATGTCTCTCACCATGGGATACTTTTAGCCATGTTACTTACATATGATGTAGCAAGAATGCCCTCACTAGACATGGCCTCTTGATTTTGAACTTCCAGATCTCCAGAACCCTTAGCCAAATTAACTTCTGTTCATTATAAATTATGCAGTCGGTGGTATTCTGTTATAGCAGCATAAAACAGACTAAGACACTATAATCTGTCTCTATCTAGTCATTCTGAACCAAAGACAGGTGATATAGGTGTGGTTCAAAAATGATTTTTTTTTAGAGAGAGAATATCTTTTTTGTAGATGGACACAACACAATGCCTTTATTTTTTTTTTTAATGTGGTGCTGAGAATCGAACCCAGGTCCCGCCCATGCTAGGCGAGTGCTCTACCACTGAGCCACAATCCCAGCCCTCAAAAATGATTTTAATATTATAATTATTTGCAAGGCATGTATTTCTCTTCAAATTAAGACCTGCTGTTGTTATTTCCATGGTAGAGGCCAGACCTAAAAACTTATTTTTCTTTAATTTGGGCTAATTATTTTTTTGCTGTAATTAAAACATATATGGTATCTAGGAGCATATTTTAAATAATTTGTAAACATCCTTCAAAGTGGTGAAAGAATGATTGTTTTAATGGAATGATTTGAGTACACATGTATGAAACTTATTAAAGCATTTACTGATCCATAGAAGCTTTTTGAATGGTGAAATAGCCAAACCTGAGAAATGGGGAGTGGGTAGAAGTCATTTTCATTCTTTTAGATAGTTGCATTTTGAAGATAGTAGCTTGTGCTTTGTGTTCTTTGGCAAAAAATGTTTTGGGCAAGAAATGTAATGAAGAAATGAAACAGGGCTTGTTCTACTAATGATGTAGTATTTCAATCCAGGCTCATTTCATCAGAGCCACTTATGGAGTTTCAGGGCCACAGATGGCTGGGTTCCAGCCCAGAGATATTTACTCAGACTCTGAATTTTTTTACAATCTGCAGTAAAAAAAATTCTACAGATGATTTTAAAATGTAACAAAATATTTTTATCAAAGAAGGGAACAGTAATTCTTTTTTTGGTACTGGGAATTGAACCTGGGGTGCTTTACCACTGAGCCACATCCCCAGCCCTTTTTATTTTTGAGACAGAGCCTCACTAAGTTGCTGAGACTGGCCTCAAACTTGAGATCCTCCTGCTTTAGCCTCAAGTTGCTGGGATTTCGGACATGTACCATCCTGCCCTGCTTATTTTAGTTTTTGTGGTGCTAGGGATTGAACCCAGGGCCTTGTACATGCTATACAAGTACTCTACTACTGAGCTACATCCCCTATCCCCTCCCCAAATCTTTAAATAGTGTCTTTTAATCAGTGGGCATTCTTTTTTTTCTTTTTAGTTGTTGATGGACCTTTATTTTATTTATTTTTATGTGGTGCTGAGGATTGAACCCAGTGCCTCACATGCTAGGCAAGTGCTCTACCACTGTGCCACAACCCCAGCCCTAAGTGGACATTCTTAATTTTAATGTGGTACAATTTTTTTTCTTTATGGTTAGTGCTTCCTGTATAGTTTAAGAAATATTTCCCTGATATGAAGATATGTATATATATTCATTAGTACAAAAATAAATACAGGATTAACCTATAGAATAAACCAGAAATGAATGACATTTTTACCCAGAGGGTAGTTACAGAGTAGAAAGAATGGGAGAGTGGAGATTGGGTGGAAGGGATGAGGGGGAAGAGTGACACTTCTCTGAGTATACCTTTTTGGATTTCTAACTCTTAGAATCATGATTATGTTTCACATTGCCCCCTAAAAGTAATAACTAAAAATAAGAAGTGGGGGGAAAAAGTGTGTGTGTGATCTCAAAGTAGAATACACACTGTGACAAATTAACTGTATTACAAATGAATAACATAACCACCTAAAGAAGTGGGGAAGAAACATACTAATCTAAGTAATATTGAAAAATAGCATTTTAACTCTAATGTACTTTGATGAGTTTTGATCTTTATTTATTCTGCTTGTGGTTTGCTAAGCTTCTGTGTTTTTCATCAGATTTGAGAAATTTTCATACATTAATTATTTAAAATATCTTTCAAGTCTAAGTATCTTATTCTTTGTGAATCCTGTTTTTACTTAGAAGGACCTGAAATATTTAAACTATGGATCACTATGCCTGTATTTCTGGATGTTTTTATGTTTTATCTTTAAAAAATGTTAATACTTCATAACATTTGGATTTTTAAAAATTTTTAAAGATTTTTTTTGTAGTTGTAGATGGACATCATGCCTTTATTTTATTTATTTTAATGTGTGGTGCTAAGGCTCGAACCCAGAGCCTCACACATGCTAGGTAAGCGCTCTGCCACCGAACCACAACCCCAGCCTCTGGATTTTTTATATTAAGCTATTGAATGGGAAAATTTTAATATCCAGTGTTTGAAAATAATTAAAAAACACAGCTGTAGCCAGGTGCACGGGGGCACACCTGTAATCCTAGCAGCTCAGGAGGCTGAGACAGGAGGATCATGAGTTCAAAGCCAGCCTCAGCAAAAGCAAGGTGCTAAGCAACTCAGTGAGACCCTGTCTCTAAATAAAATACTAAAAAGGGCTGAGGATGTGGCTCAGTGATTGAACCCCTTAGTTCAATCTCCAATGCCAAACAAAACACAACTACAGAGAAAAATTTCCAAGTAGTTAACCAATTTTTCCTGCAACATTTATTTGATAATAGATATTTTCACTACTGATTTGTAATGCCTCCCTCTTAATATGTTTTAGTTGGTTTTTTTGTTGCTGTAACCGAAAGACAAGAACAATTTTAGAAGAGGAAAAGTTTGGGGCTCACAGTTTCAGAGGTCTCACTCCATAGATGGTCAGCTCCATTGCTCTGGGCCAGAGGTGAGGCAGAACATCACAGTGGGAAGATTGTGGTGGAGGAGAGCAGTTCAGGACATGGCACCAGAAAGCATAGAGAGACAGACTACTCAACAAGGGCACATGTAAACACCAAAGTCATGCCAACAGTGACCCTCCTCCTCCAACCACATCCTACCTGCCTACAGTTACCACCCAGTTAATCCCTATTAGGGGGTTAATGCACTGATTAGGTTAAGGCTCTCATAACCCAATCATTTTACCTCTAAATCCTCTTGTATTATCTCACACATGAAATTTTGGGGGACACCTCACATCTAAATCAAAACAATATATTCATTTAAAAATGTATTATTGGAGGCTGGAGTTGTGGCTCAGTTGCAGAGCGCTTGCCTAACATGTGTGAGGCAATGGGTTAGATTCTCAGTACCACATAAAAATCAATAAATAAAGGTCCATTGATAACTAAAAAATATTTTTAAAAAATATATTATTGGTCTGGGGTTGTAGCTCAGTGGCAGAGCACTTGCGTAGTGCATGTGATGCCCTGGGTTCAATCCTCAGTACCACATAAAGGTAAATAAATAAAATATTGTGTCCATTTACAACTAAAAATAAATACAAGAATTTTTAAAAAATAAAAAAATGTATTATTGGGTTTATTTTTGATCTCTGTATTCCCTTATATATCTCTCTACTGCAGAGTCCTAGGATCACACTGATTTAATTATTGCAGTGTAACAGAAAAAGAGATTTGCAGATTATTGCCATTGATTGATTTCTAATGCCCTCTTTGGTGAGAGGATTATAGACAACTTCTACCTAGACCTGTATAACTGAAGTGTTGAGATCCCTAAGCCAAGTATTTTTAGGAGCCAGAGTTATTTAACATTCCCAGGTACTGAGCCCAGATTAATGGATTGAATTCTGAGGCACAGAGTATCTCAAGACATGAGGTGTTCCAAAGGTGAGAGATGACCTTAAAGCAGTATTTGTCCTTGCAATCTCACCACCTCATTTATGAAAATCATTTATACCAGTTTATCTCTCCATCCTATTACTTTTAGAGCTCAAAACCAGTTCATAGAATTTGATGGGAGCAGAGTCTTCACGCAAATATTCCTAGTTGTTTTTTCACATCAGCCTCCTCCTTAAGCAGAAATCTGCCATACCTAGCAGCAGGTTTAAACAGGCTGGGTTTTTTATTTTTCTTTCTGCTTCCCAGATCAGCCAAAGTATTTGGTGTGTGTGTGTGTATGTGTGTGTATATGTGTGTATACACACACACACATACTCTAAATATATACAAATATATTTTCTTTTTCAAAAATACCTTCATTTATTTATTTTACATTTTTATTCTATGGAGTGCTAGGGTATTTTATATTTTTTCTTGATATGGTAAATAGGATATTTTCTCTATGATATCTTCCCATTTATTATTGATAGTATTTCATAAAGCTTTTGACTTA